CTGGCTAGCAGCAACAGGGCGATCAGAGTGTTGGCTCCAGGGCCAGCAAGGTGAAATGTCTGGAAGCGAAAAGACCCACAATACATAACTTTCAGGTAGAAACTGTAAAGCCCGGGGAGCAAATTCTGTGGATGTGACAGGTGAGGACACAGCAAGTACCAAGTGGCAGTAGCAGGAGCAGACCTGGCTTATTCTAAAAGTGGCACAGGGGCCAGGGGAGGTGGACTGAGGTAGGAAAGGGAGAGGGGCCAGGAGGGCTGAAGCAGGAGGGCAGAGCACTGTGGGCCATACCCCAACACCTCAGAACCAAAGGAGCAGAAGGAAGAAAAACCGATTTCCTGGGGACAGAAATCTCTGCAAAGAAAGTGGACAGGAGCGTCTGCAGGCCTCCAAGTGCTGCTGTCCAAGTGTTTTATAATCAGCTAAAACCACAGTTAAAAGTGAGAAATTTCTTTTCCTAAGGAAGCCTGAGTTTTCCAGGCTGTGAAATGACCCTGTTGGGGTGGGATCCCCTCCTTCTCTGCCCCTGCCATGAGGGCCACAGGCTGGCTATGGCTGCTCTAGATCACAGTAGGGCTCTTGGGCACCAGTGACCCCAGGCAGGACTCGGTGCCTGCAGCTTTTCCAACTCTGTGGTGACCTCGGGAGTTGGTGATGGGAACGTGTCTCCCAGGAGTGGATGTCTAATGGTCATCGAGGGCCCAGCATCCAGCTACCCTCTGTATGGAGTGGGGTCAGAAGCCCAGGGAGCCAGGCAGATGGGCCTTAGGGTTGAGAGGGCAGCCTGGCCACCCCACTGTTCTTGCTGGGGCCTCCACTCTTCTTTCTTTTTCACTGTAGTAGTAGGGATTCATTCCAGACCCAGCTCTTTTACTTTTTATCTTAAGATGAGGGCTTTCTAAGTTGCCTAGCCTGGGTTCAAACTTTCAATCCTCCTGCCTCAGCCTCTCAGAGTGCTGAAATGACAGGTGTGTGCCCCATACCCACCTCCCAGGAGTGTTACTCTTGAAGGAATGGCTGATGTTGAGGTGGGGGTAACCGCAAGAGTTCTGGGACAGCAGTACCAAGGCCGCAGAGTCTATTTAGACCTCACAGCTCCTGCAGTGCCCTGGCCCCCACTGAGATCCTGAGCACCTTCAGCTGGCTTTTCTATTGTCCTTAATTGCCCAGCACCCCCCTAAGAAACTCATATGCTTCTGTTAAACAGAGGCTGTTTCTGGTGTCTATAGCCCAGAGCCCTGGCTTCACCTTACACAGTTCGCAGACCCACATTAAAGAGCAAAACATCCCTGGACCTCTGTAGTCCACGTGCGCTATTTTTGCTATCATGCAACTCAGATCTGTACTCTATAAAAACAAATATAAACACCTTATAGACCTTTATAACTTTTAAGCAACTATGAAACCACACATTGTAAGCTGAATCTAAGCAATGCTACCCAGGAGGCTGGGGCAGGACTGCTGTGAGTTCAAGGACCACCTGGGCTAATCAGTGAGTTCCAGACCAGCCTGAAGCATTGAGAGTGGGGTATTCTTTTTTTTTTTTTTTGGTCAGAATCAGGGATTGAACTCAGGCCCTTGCACTTGCTGGGGAAGCACTTATTCCACTGAGCCATCTCCCCAGCCCCCTGAGAGTGGGACCTGGAGTACATTAAGTACGCATGAAATGTTCAGTATTTATTACTTGAGCTTCTCTTCAGAGTAAGATCATTTTGCATTTTTCTACTAATTTTCTCATTTGCTTTTGGAAAAGTTTTCCTTTAAGATAATGTTCACTAGCACAAAATTATATAGAGTGAGTGGAAAGGCAGACTTCCTTCTTAAGCCGGACTGGGGCTGGGGAGATGGCTCAGTGGAATAAGCGCTTCCCTGGTAAGTGCAAGGGCCTGAGTTCAATCCCTGGTTCTGAAAAAAAAGTATGGAGAAGTTTCTTCTTAGCCGGACTCCTGGAGTCATGGACGTGAGATGCTGGTCAGGACAGTCTGGGACTGTCCCACCCCCTCACAGTCTCTCAGGGACAAGTGACTTCCCTGCTATCAGATGACAATTCCTCAGTTAGGAGAAGTAGAACTAGACCCTGGCCCTGAGCTGAGCCCCCTGGACCAGAAGGGAAAGAAGAAGCCAGCTCTGAGACCAGAAGGGGCTGCAGGGGTTATGCCCAGGGGATAAAGGCCAAAAGGAGGGCTGGGGCAGAACTGCGGAGTCTCCTGGCACAGAATGGAACTAGAAAGGGCTACGGCACCGTGGCACACAGCACTGTCCACAGAGGGCCTCTGTCCTCTGCACTTGAACAAGGAAATTTCACCCGAAGAGTCTCCGGGGCAGTGAGTACACACAGGACAGGGTGGGCATGCCCTCTTCGCCTAGCGCTCACTCACTTGCACCTGGACCATCAGGGCTGGCCTCCGAGGACCCATCTCCTTGATTTATTTTAATGGACATTTTGGAAATAAAGTTCTGGAGCACTTATAATGCCTTTGTATTGGAATACATTGTCCAAGCCAGCTCTGGTGGCACATGCCAGTGATCCCAGTACTTGGAAGACTAGTGGTGGTGGCGACTGTCATGAGTTTGAGGCCAGCCTGAGCTATATAACTGAGTTCAATTTGAACTGCATCGTGAGACACTAAGAAAAAAAAATCATCAGCAGTCTAGGTATTGTCTACCTTTATTTATTTATTTTTTATTTTTTTGTCTGCCTTTATTTAATGAGTTATGCTAGTATCTCTTTCTTTTTTATTTGCCCAATTTTCCTCCTTAGACTTTTTTTTTTTTAGCATTATGGCAAAATAGACATAATTTATCTGGTCCTTGTTGTTGTTGCTGCTGCTGGTGGTGGTACTAGGAGTTGAGCCCAGGGGCTTGCACATGTTAGTCAAGTGCTTTTCCAGGTCTAGTTATTGCTGTGTTGCCCAGGCAGCTTCTAAACTCTCAGGCCCAAGAGATCCTTCTGCCTCAGCTTCCTACAGGTGCATGTCACCATGATGGCTCTTTTTAGCCATTTGTAAATGTAGGTTCAGTGACATTAAGTACATTTGTGCTGTTGTGCCACCACAATTTAAATTATTTTAGAAATGAACATACCACCCCCAAACTAGGACTTTGACCCCAAAGGTAGGACCTATCTGTAACCAGATTGTCCTCCTCCAGGCTTGTAGGGCTCCAGCCAGTGATGGTGAATCCTGACATCATCATTCCTGAACTTGTTTTTTTTTTTTTTTTTTTTTTTTGAAATAGAGCCTTGTCAAGTTGGTCCTGCCTCAGCCTCCTTAGTTCCTGGACCACAGGCCCATGTCATCATGCCTGGCTTCTGATTTTCTTTTTTATATAATTTTGGGGAAGGAACATTTTTTCATTTTATTTTTAATTACAGATAAACAGTGGTATGCTATAGCCTATCTTCTGGCATTTCGTTTTGCCCTCGTTCAGCCAGGGTCACCCTGTTGATCTGCTAGTCTGATGTCTCCCCCTCCCACATCTGCCACATGCGAACTGAGCTGAGCGTGTGTGCTCGTGCGTATCTCCTCCAAGCAGCTAGAACCCTAGAACCTGCGCTCAGACTCAGCCACCCTCAGGCTGATGAAGGAAGGCGCAGATTGATCTGGCAGAGGTCAGAGCTTTGTCCCATCCTGGCCGCCGCCGAGCGCCCCCCTGATTTATCGGCAGAGCTCTGTCTTCCAAGCAGGGGGGGATATTAAAGAGGCAGCGACGGGACTTCCACGCTGACCCCTAATGGAAATCACTTCGCGGCGCAGACAAGGCAAGGCCATCGTGCTGCTCTAGTGAGACAGTGATCTTTGAGGCCACTCTGTCACAGCTATGACTTGGGTCACGGTGAGTCATTGGTGTTATCTAGACAAACCGCTCTCCCTCCCCGGGGAAGGTGGGCTCATTCAGGGTCCAGCGGACCAGATTCAGGTCAGGGGAGAGGAGGGACGGCACTGCACCGCACCCCCTGCCCGGTCCTGCGCTCCTGTGGCGGCTCCTCCAATAGGACAGCGTCCTCAGTCTCAGGGTCTAGATGGCTCAGCTTAGGCTCCAGGACGCGGCCGAAGCACTGTGCTGAATAGAGGTGGCGCTGGCTTTCAGTCCAGCTCCGTCTAGATCCAAACCCCCTTTCTCCTTGCCACACTTCCGGGAGTGAGCCCAACGGTGCCATCCTTTCCGCAGCCCCGCCGCCTGACAGGGTGAGCCTCGCCCGTTCGCGGTCTTTCTCAGTTTCTTTTCCTCCTCCTCCGCTGTCGGCGAACTAAGGCCGCGTCTAAGCACAAGCATCGTTGGAAAGCCCGGCGGGCCGCTGGTACTCATCGGTGAGTTTAGCGGGGCACCCAGGGCAGCACGCTTGGGGGTGGGGTGGGACTTGCGTGATCCTCGGGGCCACCTCTCGGGACCCCAGCCCACCCCGGCCGCAGTTTGGAAATTGCACCGTGTCCTCTCCCCGCGCTCTGGGGTTCGAGTCCCGGCGCTTTCCGCTCCCACCCCCGGGTTCGGGAGCACGTGGCGGCCCCAGGGGCCGCTTCACTGTAAGTTCGCGCTGGCTGGGCGCAGCACTGCGTTTCTGATTGTTTCCACGCGGGACGCAGCCCCACGAGCGAACATCAGCACCCACAACCCCGCGGAGGACTGGAAGCACTGGAGACGGCGGGCTCGTGGTCTGTTGCCCCCAGCCCGGCCAGGCCGAACAACAGGACTGCGAGCGGGCTGTGCGCGTGCACGTAGCGCAGCGTGGAAGGAGCGCGCCCCGGTCTCAGGTGCGCGCGGAGGCTGCGGGTCCGAGGCGCAGGGCCTGCGGCGATGGCCTGACTCCGGGACACGCGCACCGCGGGTGCGTTCCTAGCCGTGCGCGCGCTCGACTCTGAGCCCCGCCCTGCGCTCACCTGCGCACCGCCCACCTGTGCGGGGCGTGTCCCGGGGCGTGCCGGGGGTACTCTGGGGGCGTGTCTGGGTGGGCGTGCCCTGGGCGTGTGCGGGTGGGGCGGGGCCCAGCGCGGCGGGCGGCGCTCATTCCGCGGATTCCTCGCGCTGCAGTCCGCGCGCCCCGTGCGCCCCGCGGGGCCGGAGGTAGCCGAGAGTCAGCGGTGAGTGGGCCGGGAGGGCCGGGTGTCTCCGCGGGCGGCGGGGCGCTCGTGGGGCCTTGGCTCTCAAGGCCGCGGTGCAGGCGTTGCGGGTGGGGACCCGGACCCCGCGCCTCCAGCCCCAGCCCGGACGGTCTGCGCCTCATACTTAGGCCTTGCCGCAGCGCCCCCTTCCTGGGTCCTCGCGGGTGACAGCGCCGGCCTGGAGGGCGACTAGGTCTGCTGTGCGCGGCTGGCGCGGGCTCGCGGCGGGAGCGCGGCGAGTGAACCGGTTTCGCTTTAATCTGCGCCGCGCTGCCGGGGGTGTAGCCTCCGTGGGCACCCGGACTGGACGGGCGGACGGGCGGGCCGGCCTGGCTCCCACGCCTGTTCTGTGGGAAGGTACTGGCCGCGCTTGGGAGTTGGAAGATCGCTTTTTGGACCCAAGGCTGCCGTGGATGGAGAAGTAGGCTTGTCAGTCTGACCGGGAACATCCAAGACGCCCCCAAACAGAAAAACCTGGTTTGTACAGAGGCCCTGCAGGTCGGGTTGCAGGCCTCGTGAGTGCCACCGACCCACCCGCGCCAGGTTTGCGCTGGTCCTGGTTGGCCCCGCGAGGTCATTGTTCCTGCGCGGCGCGCGAGGCCTCTGCTCGTGACCGGGACCTGCGAGTGGGCGCCGGAGCCCAGCGCTGCTGTGACCTACACGACGCTTCGCTGGACTCTATAGAGACTTCTTAAACCCAGCACGGTTCTGTCGAGTTTTTTTCCTCTTTATTTTTCTTGTGTGGCTCCTGTTGCATATCCGTGAAAAAGCCGTCACCCTCGCGGTGGAAATGATGTAAACCCCTCGATTTGTTGTTTGACTTTGGCAAAATTTTAGTCCCAGTGATTTCCTTGCTCCCCCATTCCCCCACACTTCTGGGCACCCTGCCTTTGCTTTCTGGAAGGGAATGCAAACCAATTTTTCTGTTGATCAAAACACAATACAATTAAGTAGATAATTCTGCTATAAATAACCACGGTCTGCATTCCAAAACTGCAAATGTTGTGGTGAAAACAACTCTGGTTTATAATTTCTGGAGGGTTGAGTTCAAGTCTCGTCTAAGTCATGTAGGAGGCTTTGACTGGAAATTTAATCTTAGGCTTAATCTTTGTAAGAGGCCGCTCCTGTGTGTTTCAGAGCATCAGTTTCTCGAGTTAAAGGGAATAATGTGCTTTGAACTTTTTTTCTTTTTTGTATGTTGGTTATTTATAAAAGTCTTTGAAATTTTTTTATGTTTTAAATTTTCCTTTTTATTGTTTGGTACAAGGAATCGAACTCAGGACCTTCGTTTGTTATGGGTCATTGAAATAAAGTCATTTTCATTTTCTCCAACTCTACAACTGACTTAGAACTATGACCTTAATTTAAGATTTTTTTTTTTTTTTTTTTTTTTGTGGTACTGGGAATTGAACTCAGGACGTTGTGTTTGCCAGGCAAGTGCTTATTCTACCGAGCTATCTCCCCAGCCCCCTTAATTTAGGATTTTTGACACTCCTTGCAAACATAATTGACTTAACCTGGGGCCTTTGCATTGAGCTACATCCTCTGTTTTTTGTTTTTTCTTTTGGTACCAGGGATCAAACTCAGGACCTTGTGCTTATTAGGCAAGCACTTATACCACTGAGCTATATCTCGGGTCCTCCTCTGTTCTTTTTAATTTACTTATATTTTATTTTGAGACAGTGCCTTGCTATGTCTCTTAGTTGCCCAGACTGGGCTCAAAACTAGTGATCCTCCTGCTTTACCCTCCTTGCAAACTGGGATTATAGGAGTTCACCACCATGTTAACTAATTTTCACTTTTAGGAAATTCCTTTTACTCCTTTAATGGAGTTAGCTTTCTTGTTTGCCTCTGGTGATTTCTAAAATAAAGTCAGAGAAAAATGTTACTTTATGTATATTCTGGATATTTCTCTTGGATACATTCACCATGAACCTTTTAATTAGCTTTAATAATGACTAATATAGCAGTAAATTTGCCTTACAACTTTAAAAAGGACTTGATAAAATAAGTTGCACATTCAGAAGGCTACAAGTCAAGCGAATGACCCTGTGTGGCCATCTTAACATGCAGGGTTGTCTTTCTTGCCTGAACCGAGCTGCCACAGATGCAGGCACCTGGTGAAAGACAGCATTATGTGTGGAGAACTCACACAAGACAGCTGAGGCTCATTTGTGATTCTTCCAGGGAGTCTGTGGGGAGCTAATGAAGCCAGTGTGTGGGAGTATAATAGAGGAGTGAAGTGAATTCAAATGAACCACCACTCATCCATCTTGGAGCAGCTTGGGGCCTATCTACACTGCACACACACACACAGAACTTTGGGCCTGGGTCACCAATCTTGATGGTTCTGACTGCCAAGAATGTGCAGGAGGTGTTGAAACCAGAGAAAGAGGATCTTGGGTGATACAAGGTGAAGGCAGGCTGTCTGTGTAGAATGTAGGCCGTATCTCCTACCATCTGTATAGAATGTGCATTGTGTCTCCTGCCACAGGTCCGATGGCCAGATACCCTGTGTCCTCCTTATTTGCATTTACAGATTTGCCTATCCACTGAAATTTGGTCGCAGCCTAGAGCAAGGACCCTGTGTGGTAGACATGTAGGACTAGTGCAGGATGAGGGAAATTGAGGGTCACAGTGTGAACCCTCCTGAGGACTTACAAGCCAGCACCCCCTTCTGCTTGTTTGATTGTTTGTGCTTTTTGTCAGTGGGTTTGTGGCTTAAGGTTGTCTCTAGGGGTGGTGCCAAAGGACCCCCTGGGGTCCTTCAGCCAAGAGGGGTGTGGTGTGCTTTCTGGAGAAAATGTGTGATAAAACTGGTTTGAAGCTGGGTGTGGTAGCACATTGGGAGGCTGAGGCTGAAAGATCGAAAATTCCAGCCCAGCCCAGGCAATTTAAGGAAAGCCTATCTGAAAAAGTAACTCAGTGCAAAGGCCTGGAATTCAATCTCTATTACTGCCCCCCACCCAGTTGTTTAGAGGGGTGGATGGCAGAGCTGTTGGCTGTGAGTTCATTAAGGCATCACCAACAGGTATTCAGTGAAGTATCTTTATACAAGAACACACAGAAAAGAACACACACATATAGGATCCATTGACAAAAATGTGACCTGAGGCAGGAAGGAAGCTAGCTCAGTATATGTGATTTTATAGAACGTGATTCCGAGGAATGATGAGGACAGACCATATTTGCTCCTGGTTTTGGCAGACCTAAGGATGCACTGAGGTAAACAACGTCCCCTAGGCCGAAGAGGCCCAAGGTTTAGATTAGGAACTATGGAGAATTAGGTGTAGGCTTCCAGGAAGTTCACCAGCATGGGCTAGGATGAAACTCTTCTCTCTCTCATTTTTTAGTGTTTGTTTTTATTAGCACATGTTCCCAGTACAGAACGATCACATTCCTTATGGGGAGTGGTCCATGCACATAATCCATCCTTTTTTTTTTTTTTTTTAATGTATTTAGTACAGGGTCTTACTATGCAGCTCAGACTTGTAGTGATCCTCCTGTTTTCAGTCTCACCACTGCTGAGATTACAGGTGGGTGCCCCATGCTCCATCTCTGTGGCCAGCTCAATGCTTCTGGGGGTGGGGCCAGTGCTGCTTGTGGTGCCGGGGATTGAACCCCCGATTCCTGCTCTTGCCTAAGCAGCTGCTTAGTCCACTGAACTGTCTCGCTGGCCTACATAATCCATCTTAATTCTTTTTTCAACCCTTTTTCTCTCCTCCCTCCATCTCTTGATGCCCTTTTCTCTTGCAAAAGATCCATCTCCCCATTTCCTAGGATGTTTTATTTTGCTCTGTACTTTGCGTTTCCCATATATGTGTGTCTGATCTGCTTCACCTGACATTATGGTCTCAGGGTGCATCCGTTTCCCTACAGATCACTCAAGTTTGTCCTTCTGTATGGGAGAGCAGTACTCCATTGTGTATAAACACCACATTTTCTTTATCTACCCATCTGTTGGTGTGCATCCAGGCTGCTTCCAAGATTTAGCCTCAGTTATGCTGCTATAAACGTGGGTGTGCACGCATTGCTGTAGTATGACTTTTGTTTTCTCAAACTGAGGTCTAGAAAATGAAGAACGACTGGATTCATAGTAACTTCAATGTGAGCCCGAAGAGCACAGATCATTTTTATCTGGGCTGTAACAGTGTTGGAAAAGGATGGGAACCAACTGTCTGTTTAGTAAATCAATTCATGGACCTTATTGGTGTCCCTCAGACAGCTGTGCTGGCCTGCACCTGCTGCACCATCACCTCCAAGGCTGCCTGAAGGACGCAGAGGAGTGTGCCCAAGTAGGGAGCCCTGCAGAGCATTGCACAGGTTACCCAGCCTGGGTGTGCAGCTCAAAGCCTGCACTGCTGGCCCTTGGGTCGTGTGGCAGGGTCTATGCCATGTGTGTCTGCATAGTTGACACTGACAGTGGCTGTGCAACAGTAACTGGTGGCACCGTCTGCCATCTCTTATAGCCAGGGTCATCAAGATGACTGAAGATCAAATTCTGGTCTCCCTGCCAGAAACTGAGGAGGTCCACAGAGGCCAGCCTCAGGTATGTTTAGCACCTGAAAACCTCATGTAGGGGCTGGGGTGCTGTGCAGTAATCCATAATAGACATTTGCCTAGTGTGGGTGAGGCCTGGCTTCCTTCTGTAGCACTACTGAAAGAAAGATAGAAAGAAAGCTTAAATATTCCTCATGTTTCTACGCAGAGCAGGTTCCTTTGTGCATTCCCAGCCTCCTGGGTCTTGCTGTCCATGGGGGTGACAGGAGGTGGGGACCAGCAGCTGGGGCTGAGGTGGCAGGCTGACCCAGAGCCCTGCCCTCTGCAGGCGGGGTTTATTCACCCCTTGGTAAAGGGGCCTGCCTGTGCCACCACCAGCTGCTTTCTCTTTCTAGGACAGTGGGGGATGACTGCCAACTGAACAGCTCTCGCTCTTGGGCTATGCTGGAGGTTGGCAAGCATGCTGAAGAAACTTGTTT